CAGTAGCTGGGCAACTGGCTTGGCAAAACTTCTCCGGCTCAGGGTAGAGTGAGAAGGAGTGTCAGACTCTTACTGAACTCGCCGCCCAACAAGAGCCAGACTGTTCTATATGTAACCAGTAACGGGTTCCAGTAGGATAATTTTCTACCATCAAACATCTTAATTATGCTTTTCACTGTCACGAGTGGAGCCCGAAGGAACACAGGAACTTGCCAATTTTCGAACTAATCTATTTATATACGCACGCATACTGCAGTTCTAACTAAGTAGCTTTGCGCTAAAATTATCACTCGGAAACGACTTTTATTTTTAGGTATCAAAAAATAATAATTTTATTGCGCGCAATGTAAAGCAAACGGGCTTCGTGTCATTGTGTGCGTAGGTTCACAGCTTAGCATTAAAACGCTGTGATAAGTACGTAGGTCGACGTTTTACTTCGCAACAACAAAACAATTCTATAAAATAAAAATCCTACTGAGATGCACGATGTTTTTTGTGCGGGTCTGCATTTATTTATTACGTACATTACTGTTCGTAACTTCAAATGCGTAATTTATTTAGAAAATTAGAAAATTCAGGTAATGTTTGATTGGAAAAAAATGCATCTTTGACCTTCAGTATCTCGAGAACCCGTGGATTCCCAGCTATGGTCTTAAAGAAAAAATGATCCAAATAATGGGTAGAATACGTGGCTTTCGGCTTCGATAAGTGTCTTTTTACACCCTGTATAAAAGAAAGTCGTGTTAGTTACTCCACTTATAACTCAAGAACGGCTGACCCGATTTAGCTAAAAATTGGTAGGGAGGTAGTTTAGAGCCAGGAAAAGGACATAGGATAGAGTAGGTAGTGTAGGGTAGGTAGAGTAGGGTACGTAGAGTAGGGTAGGTAGACTAAGGTAGGTAGAGTAGGGTCGGTAGAGTAGGGTAGGTTCTCAAATGACGGGTGCGACGCCGCGGGTAAGAGATAGTAATCTATAAAAGCATGCGCGAACGCATCTCATTATGCATTCGCTAGTGATCTTTTAGACTGCGACTGTGACTTGTGTGTGTTTATCATAAATATTAAGGTAAGCTGGCATTATACATATATTTTATTATTCTCTTGCAGTTTTTCATAGAACAGGTACATATATGTATACCAGTATTGTGGTAACTAGAGGAAAATACTGAGGGCCTTTACACCTTTTATAGCCTCTTTCTTGCCCGGAATATTGACGCTTCAACACGTCATGGTAGGCCTACAGAAATCTGGATCTGTCGCCAACTGACGCCGCGGGTTTCCTTTGAATCAAGTAAAGCACTGCATATTTATCAGGGACCTCTGCGCTTTCTGATAAACCTGATCCATTAAAACTTTGTTTTCCCTTTAGGAGAGGTCCAGGAGCTGTTGGAAATGTGATACATAGATATAAGCTATTAATAAACAATCTGCCATCTGTCCCCATTTCCCTTAGTTTGACTTTCGTATATTAATTATTGTGTATTATTTCTTTTTATTTATCACATAAACATTTAAATAACATTTTTAAATATTTTTTTAAAATAAATAATAAAAAAACAAAAATATAAAAAATTGTGTCCCCCGGTATCGAGAACAGGGTCCAAGCTACCGGGCGGTCAGGGCTCCAGAGAGAGGAACCTCCTGACAATACGAGCCGTGTGCAGGAGTACTACTTTCTGAATCAAGCCTTTGATCCAGCCACCTAAGGAGAGCCTCCTAAGATGCTATTAAGCCATTGGCTGACACGACTATGATAGCCGAATCCACTTCCCACATGTCGACAACCTCGCGTGCCAAGTCAATATACTTGATTAGCTTATCTTTCTCAGCTTTCTTATGTATTATGTATTATAATTATTAAGTATTATTTCGACTTAACCTAGAATAGTCAGAATTTTTTTTCTAAGATTGCGGTGTCTTAATTATTATTTATGAGTGAATATTAATTTGGGATCATCTTGAAATCGAGTGACGCATAGTAAAAAGTTATAGGTAACTGTCGAAAATTCTCTCGCCTTTAAGGGCTTCGTCCCTGTCTAGGTTCTCATGCGATTGTAGCTTAACTAGTACCTACTTAATAAAAATAATACCACAAATAATTAAATGTTATGTCATATTCTAGAAGTTTATAATAATCCGGCTTCGGATAATAGAACGAATCTGAATAAATAATAGTAATATAAGAACCGGATCAACAAGTAAAAATGAACATTACCTATACATACCTAGTTTCGTAGACAAAGGCCAAAATTATATAAAGCCTAGTAAGCAGCACCATTGCTGTAACATACGTTTTTTTATGGAATAAGTCGGCAAACGACCTGACGGATTAGACCTGATGGTAAGCAATCGGCGCCGCCGAAGGACACCCGCAACACCAAAGGAGTCACGAGTGCGTCGTCGGCTTTTTGGGAATAAGGGTTGCGGATATAAGGATTAGGAAAGGATAGGGGAAGGGAATGGATTGGGCCTCCGGTAACTTCAATCATGTTTGTGGTTCTTTCATGTCGGTATTCTGTGAGGCCGTGGCATCAATCCATTCGGGCCGACCCATTTGTGCCGAAGCTTGGGTCCCCACATCATATCTCTCGCCTTAAAGACCCAATAGACGAGAACGAATGGCACCCAAAAAGGGCTGATTTTCAGCCAGCGGCTTGCCATGCAGGCATTGCCTGCCAGGCAAGCGTGAATAGGTACCGCGGCGTCACGCAGCGTAGAGCAAGAAAGAATACGGGGTTTCAAGTCAGTGAGTAATATTCTGACACTCGTTTCGTCTCATCCTGAGCGTGACTAAAAAATCTATGATTTTGCCACCTGAAAAAATGTAAAAAAAAAATACATCCACCAAATCTTTAACAGTGGAAAAAATATGTTCGCTTACTGGCGCGTTTTAACACGTTTCTATTTAATTTTAAATGGGGAATGGACCATACACCTTAAATAAAAAAAGAAGTACACGAACGAGCTATAAGCCGTCTAAGCGTTTACATTCGCTGCTCGGTGCCTATCTATCATAGCGTTGTAAATTGACTAACCAACACCAAAATTAAAAACATAATAAACATGTTTTTTTATTTGGGACCAGTAGTTCTAGAGAGAAAACAACATCATCATCAGTCTACAAGTGCCCACTGCTGAGCAAAGGCCTCTTCTCATACAGAGAAGGTTAGAGCATTAATCACCACGCTTGTTCAATGCGGTTTGGCGATTTCAAACTTATAATTGGAAATCATAAGTCCAGGTTTAATCACGATGTTTACCTTCACCGTATGTCAGTGGTCTAAATAATAATAGAAAGTACATATAACTCGGAAAAAGTCACATTGGTACTTGCCAGGTTTCGAACCCATACCCTCATGCATAAGAAGCAGGCTCCTTAACCTCCGGGCCACCACGACATTCGATGATTCGATTGAGACACAAAACATACAAACTCTTTTTTATTAACCTATTTAAATACGGGTTTCGTTCTTTTTAATAATAAATGTCTAGATCTAATAAAAGCTGTTTTAATAATGCAGTTTTCCTTGTTTTTATTTGTTACCACTTAATACAAGACTGACTCATAATCGGAAACTACTGTATCAGTCTTGAACAGATTTTTTTTGGGATAGGTCGGAGAACTAACTGTCTGGTTACCTGATGGTAAGCAATCGGAGCCGCCCATGGACACCCGCAACACCAAATGAGTTACGATTGCGTTGCCGGCCTATTGAGGATGTCGGTGTTTCCTGATAGTTACAATCCGGGTATCTTTAAGTCAAGAGTGAATAGGTTAGTTCTAGGTAAGCGCGCTCCATCGTCGACCGCATCGTCACTTTCCATCAGGTGAGTTAGCGGTCAAGCACGAACCTATAATCAATAAAAAAAAAGGGTAAGGGATTGGACAAGGTTGGGGGGTGAGGAGAGATCGGACCTCCGGTAATCTTAATCACACGTCGAAACACAACCTCTGTCTATATGTTAAAGATACCACCCTGTATCCATTTTAATAGTTTAAGAAATGAGTAATTATTAAGCGCTAACTTGGAAAGCTATTTACACATGCACAGTATTAACCACCTTAACATTTTAAATAAGTAAGTGGCACAAGCATTTTATTGAGATTATCTTTTTCTTTACATCATGCAAATTAAAGAAATTACTTTAGGAGATATAGCGAAATCAAACTCACGCGTAAGAAACTAATTCATATCCTTTACTTGTGAACATAGGTCTGTACAATAAGGTCTAATTACATAAAAGACATAAGATCTTCGAATAAGTACGCATGTTGGATTCACATCTAGTAGATGTCAATAAGATAAGTTGTTTTAAGCCTATAATTAAGCTAATAAGAATGAAAATAAGTTTTGTGAATTACAATAATAATAATAGGTCTTTACCATCTATCACTAATAATTCTTCTTCTTTATTAGTGATCGATGGTCTTTACCTATGAAATTGCCGATCTGCAGTACTGGCCATTTCAAATTAAAATAGTTTTTGTTAGGCTAAGGCTAATTAATTTTGTTTTAAAAACATAGGATTCTTTTTCCAAAAGTAGTCATTTGTTTATTGATTAGTGTTACATTTTCATCGCATTTCAAATCAAAAAATCGTTTAAATTTTTTCATGCAAAACGGCAATTTCATAGGTAAAGACCTATTAAAAAAGAAATAATAAAACATATGTAGGTTGCATGAAGTTTTAACTTACCTATAAGTTAAATCCGTACCATTACCTTAGGAGGGACGGACAGCGCAGACGTAGTATCTATTAGGGTTACCATAAAAATGAAACGTACCAGCCTAATTTTATTTCCACTTCGTTTTTGTTATTTTTGTAATAGGCTGATTTTTGTCAACATACGTGCGTAAGTTAGGTTATTAACATCAATTAAATAGTGATATTTTGTTCCATTATTACATCAGTAGTAGCCGGGGCGGGTTGCTAATGACTTATAATACTTAGCTGATAAAATAAAAATTAAGCATTTTTTTTTATTGTTTTACCTAACGATGTATGATGGTCTTACAGATTTCTCTCAACGTAAAACTATATGGACAGCTGAACACAGAGTCACAGGAATAGAAGTCCCCGCGACAAGACATCAGGAATTTGAATATAGTGTGGCCAATAAAGAGGTAATACTAATTTTTAGACGTTAGAAATCATTAAGTACATGTTGCTAGTAATTACGGATGGAAAGCAACATCCACCAAATCTCTAACTCAAAAAACTCAAAAAGTAGGGCCCTTTTGACAGCGTTTTGACACGTCATCGATTTTTTTACCTTAATACTGTTCCTGTCCTACTAGAAGGGAAGGATTGATCCTCCGCCATTAATCTCACATCCCGATTTGAAACCGTTTTTTTTGCCTGGGTCCTTAACTTTAATTTGTATATTCGTGTAAGTGTGGAAGGGCCATGCTTCGGCACGAATGGGTCGGCTCGACCGGAGTGATACCACGGCCTCACAGAAAACCGGCGTGAAACAACCACAGCGTTGTGTTTCGCCGTGTGAGTGAGGTTACCGGAGGCCCAATCCTTCCAAATCCCGAATTCCTAAAAGGCCGGCAACGCACTCGTAACTCCTCCGATGCTATGGGTATAGGTATAGGTAATCCGTATGCTCGTTTGCCGACCTATTACATAAAATAAAATAAAAAAAAAAATATTCTTCTCCTAATTCTTTACTATAAACGTGCCCTTTTTTATCAGGGGAAAATCATCAAATGACCTCTCCCGCCCAGGGAAGGCGAGAGAGAGTGTCAGACTCTTACTGTCTAAAATAATTTTTAACAAAAAAAAAACCGACTTCAAAACGTAAACTAAAAAGCAAAAAATAAATTTACTTTGTTTAAAATAATACATATTTTCATTTAGTTAAATATAAAATAATATTTAATAACTATTTTATAATCTTAAAGTCGGTGCCAAGTAGTGTAAAGATATTACCTACATACCTCTTGCTAGTTTGATGATTAGTAGTATTCAATATATTTTTCTAATACTCTTATTGTTTGGTATGTAGTATTTACTTGGCACCGACTTCAAAATTATAAAATAGTTATTAAATATTATTTTATATTTAGCTAAATGAAAATATGTATTATTTTAAACAAAGTACCTAAATTTATTTTTTGCTTTTTAGTTTACGTTTTGAAGTCGGTTTTTTTTTTGTTAAAAATTATTTTATTTCACCATTTTAAGTTATAGGCAGAGAAACCTAGGATGCTTCTCAAAAGAGAAGACGACGGCTATTTGAGACTGAAAATCACGGTAATGGCAGTCCTGAGTTAGTCAGCTTTCAGTGCCGTAAATCGTTGAGGAATTCCCTCAAATGTCAATGACCTCCATCATCAGGTATATTGCAGGCCTTCATTATACATAATCTATATAGGTGCAAAGTTCTCAACAATATAAATGAATGAAGTCCAAACACATTATAATTACTCCAAATAGTCAAATCGATTCCACGACGGTCTTCCGGCTCCATCATCACAATTTACTGCATAACTTCATTGTAATCCATAAAGGTGCAAAGTTTTTATCGATATAAATGAATTAAGTCATCATCAGACCCTTAATGACAGTCACGACCAATCTTGCTGCAAAGTGCTCACCAATACGAATCATTCAAGCTTAAACACAAGGCAACTACTCCAAATAATCAAGGAGATCCCTCGACTGCCTCCCGGCTCTATCATCAGGTCGGGTTCGAACATCGGCAAGTTGTAAATTTGTCAAAAGCCTACTGAAATCATATGCAAAAGCACCACTCGCCCCTACAATTTTTGAAAGTTCCCCTCGATTTCTCTGTTCTTCCATCATCAGATCCTGATTTCCTTTTCATGGGACCATTCTGGGACTATCTCCATTCCAATAAAAAAAGAATTATCAAAATCGGTTCATAAATAACGGAGATATCGGCGAACAAACATAAAAAAAAGAAAGCATATATACGGTCGAATTGAGAACCTCCTCCTTTTTTGAAAGTCGGTTAAAAAAACCCCCGTTCCTTCTCCTGCTCTGGGTCGAGGCAGCGATGACTCATTGCGCTTAACCCGCAACCCCGGCTAAATATCAGCCCTATAGGGCCTCGTCTATGGTGGTCTATTGGCTCTTTGCGGTACGCTACTCGCCGTCCGCTCGGGTCTGGTTGGGCAGCGAGCAACCCTCACTCGCGCTTACGGTGGTCGGAAGTCGTCTATCCCCCGACGCTCGGAATGTCGCCTACTACGGTGGCTGGGGCGCGAGGAGGATAGTTCTTCTAGTTCGCGCTCCGCACCCTCCTTTGCGAGCATCACTGCTTCGCAGAAAGAGGAGACGGCTTCCCAGTTCTTTTCGCTACGAATAATGGCATTGAATAAGGCCGGGCGCGAGAGGTCGCCGCCACCGATCACTTCCCCGAGCACACGGCGGTGCTCAGCCCAAGCAGTGCACACCGCCACCGTATGCTCCACCGTGTCCTCTGGGTGGTCCTTACAATGACGACACTCGGGCGTTTCCTCCCGCCCGATCCGAAACAGGAACCTACTGAAGCTACCGTGCCCGGTAAGCACCTGTGTCAGGCGGAAGGTGAGGACGCCGTGGCGTCTCTCAAGCCACTCCTCAAAGAGGGGTTTTACCGCTGCTATAACAGCGTGCCTGGCCCTCGGTTTCGACACTTGTTCTACTCTGCCATGAGATCTCGCCGGAGCTCATTCCGCATCGCACTAATATGGCGGGGCAGAGCATCCTCGCTCCGGCGACGCGCGTCTGCGTGCAAAGTGTAGACGCGCGCGAGTGTCTTCGCTTCCAGATCCCATGGCGGTGATCCGGCAAGGAGGTTCGCCGCCTCCCCGGAGATCGTACGATATCCGCGGATTATTCGAATAGCCATGACCCTCTGGGACGCGACCAGGGTACGGGCCGACCGCCGCCTCAAGTCTGGAGCCCAAACAGGGGCCCTGTAGAGGGCCATGGAACTATAAACGTGCCCACACTTACATTTATTACAAACCTTCATCGCACGATACTTCCATAAGAATAGATGTGTTCTATTTAAAACCGCGGAGTTTTATGCCTCCTTGCGGATAAGCTCTCTCATAGTAGATTATGATATTGCCTAAAACCAGATTCATCCCATTTCCAATTTCAAAATAAAAAATCTCAGTTTTAGCATTTTAATCTTAAATTTATGTTTTAATTACTTTCAGATGCGGATATTTTTATTTCTTTTGGCTTTCGCAGTGGTAAGGGGCGAATCTGCAGACACATTTCCTGTCTGCAGAAAGCGCGTTTACTGCAACAGCGAGCTTCTCCATCGAGTCCAAATAAACAGGGTCTGTGAGTACTCAAAGGCGTTTGTAGACCTTCATATGAATTACGACGAAAACAAAACATTAGATGACTTCGAGAAATTACTCAACTCACATAATAACTATCTGTCTAAAGATCAGTTGAAAGAATTTGTTGGCAAATACTTCTCTGAAGATAATGGACTAGAAAAATGGACGCCACCAGACTTCGACGGTAATCCTAAATTTTTAAACGCAATAGAAGATAAAAAATTAAAAGAATTTGCCAGAAACATCCACAAGTTATGGACGCATTTAGGAAAAAAAGTAAAAGTCGATGTTTTTAAGAATCCAGATCGTTATAGTTTAATTCCTGTCTCTCATGGATTTTTCATTCCCGGAGGTAGGTTTACAGAGATGTTTTACTGGGACACTTATTGGGTCGTCAAAGGCCTGCTCATAGCTGGAATGCAAGAAACCACAAAAGGAATACTTGAGAATTTTTTCGAACTAGTAGATCAGTTAGGTTACGTACCCATGGCAAGCAGGTGGTATCATGAAAAACAAAGTCAGCCGCCATTGTTGACGGAGATGGTAGCTGCGTACTACAAAGATACTAACGATAAAGAATTTCTCAGAAATAATATTGCATACTTGGAAAAGGAAATCGATTTTTGGTTAAGTAATCGATCGGTTGACACAGAAAAAGACGGGAAACATTACAAGGTACATCGATATTTCGTTTCTATTGGACGCCCGCGTCCCTTCTATTATTATACAGATATCGAGCTGATAGAAAGTTTTACAAACCAAACTGACATACTTAAAGGCATTTGGAGTGCAGTTGAGAGTGGTTGGGACTTCTCATCGCGGTGGTTTGCCGATCCTGAAGAAACTGAAAGAGAAAACCCTAGAATAGACATTCGAACAATGTTCATTAGCCCTGTCGACTTAAACGCAATCATCGCTAGTGCTCTGCAGCACATGGCAAACTTTCACACTGATTTGATGAATGTGGACAAGGCTAACACATACGCACAATTAGCACAACAATTGAGAGACACCATCGAGTCAGTGTTCTGGAATGAAGAAGACGGAGTGTGGTACGACTATGACCTGAACTTGCAATCGCAACGGAAGTATTTTTACCTGTCAAATTTTTCTCCGCTGTGGCTGTCAGCCGTAAGATCAGATTTTGTGAAAGCTAAAGGAGAGAAGATTTTGAACTATCTTATTGATTCCGGTGCTTTGGAATATCCTGGGGGGGTGCCCATTTCCATGGTAAATTCTGGAGAACAATGGGACTTTCCTAACACTAGCCCTCCATTTATTAGTGTCTTGGTAAACGCTCTAGAGTCCATCGGAACTGAAAAGGCAAAAGAACTGGCTCTTCAAATTGCGGAAAAGTATGTTAGGGCTTCTCATGTGAGCTTTATAAATTACGGAAATTTGTGTGAAAAGTATGATGTAAATGAATTTGGTAAATGTGGTGAAGGTGGTGAACGCCCAACGCAGATTGGTTTTGGCTGGTCCATTGGTGTAGTGTTAGAGTTTTTAATGAAATACAAAAAGATGACTGCAGCACCCTTAGATGATCAATTGACCACCACTATTTCCCAATATAGCGAAAGCCCAAATAACAGCGTAGGAATACGATTTGGAGTAATCAACTACATTATAATTTTTGTAACAACTTTGAAGTTTTTTGCTTTAGTGAGTGCTTGTGATTTTTTATGTATTAATTTTCTTTAACTGAGGAAGTGATGTGATGTGTACCTACTCGTATATGTTAGCTACTAATAAAACCCAAATATTCAGAAATATTAATTGTCATGGGTGAATCTCACAAGGCACCAAATATATTTTAAGTGTGTAGTACCGCACATGCGTATACTTCTAAAATGTGTACTTTCATACAAATTAATGCAACAAAATATTACCTTGAGAAATAAATAGACTATATTAGTATTAAACTTGTTTACATTAAATTTGAAAAAATAAATAGCATAGTCTTTGACATTTCAGTACCTGTATTCGTCATCCTAGTTTTTAACACTCAATGATTTACTAAGTTTTATAGGTTGGAAGTAAACTGAAATATACTTACACGAGTCCCAATCTTGCTCTCCCCATCTCTCCAATATCCTCAAATCTCCAAAACCCTAATCCTATAAAGGACGGCAACGTGTCACCCCGATTGCATAATCAGGTCATCCGTCGTATCTTTTACCAAACTATCACCATTTTCATTTAGTACAAGTTTTTTTATCGCCTGACCCAATGTTAGTTCATTTGAATGTCTGTAATAAAATCTTGTTTGAACCATTTTTCTATCACTCATTCAGCTGAAATTTTGCACACACGTGTTGATACACGATCATGCTATTTTATGATGACAAGGTGCTGATCAGATGATGGAGTGAAGACCTTAGCGCTTTGAACCGACAAAACCTCACCTAGCTTTTTTATTATTTATCTTTTATGTCGTAGGCAGGCAACCGACAAACAGGTTACCTGATGGCAAGCAAGGATTGCCGCCCATAGACATTCGTAGTACCAAAGGAGTTATAAGTGCGTTGTCGGCTTCTTGTGGGTTATTAAGGATAGGGGATTTGAAAATTAAGGATGGAGGAAGAAAGAATTGGGTCTCCGGTAACCTCAGCGAAACACAACGTGAGTATTGCTTGACACACGGTTTTTTGTGAGGCCGTGGTATCACTCTAGTCAAGCCAACCCATTCGTGCTTGTTTGAATATCTTGACGAGCAGTTACAGTGGTACCCAGGGTCTAATGTTAGAGCTGAAAGATGGCTCTAGGACGAAGGAAGGAGTGGCTTAAGAGACGCCGCGGCATACTCATTTTTCGCCTGACGTAGGTGCTTACCGGGCACGGCAGCTTCGCTAGGTTCCTGTTTCGGTTCTGACGATACGAAACGCTTGAGTCTCGTCATTGTGAGGACCACCCAGAGGACATGGTGACGGTGTGCCTGTATTGTGATGTTAAATGTTAACCAAGGTCTGGGGTGTGATTCTGTAACTTCATTCTAAATTTCGAATCTGAATCCGCTGTGAGTAGTAGTACACTAGCGCTACACTTGCGAGTTGAACTAAATTGACAGCAATATTTTGATAGATATATGAGATGACGTTAAAAGTGGCATTCTAAAATTTAATTTCCCCGTCATTTCGATGCTCACTTCGGACTCGAACACGATTCAAAATCAAACAAATTTTATAGAATCGACGTGCTGATGATGGAGTTAAGATGGATAATTCGGAACTCAGTACATAGTTTAAAGATATTCAGCTTGTATAGTTTGTGTTGACGAGTATTTTAGCTCTAGTTGGTAAGTAGCATGACATTCGTCCATGCAATAATAAAGGATTTTGTGTGCAGACTTATATTAAAAGTTACTGTTACGAGGTGGGTCAAAGGGTTTTTTTGAATAAATAAAAATAAAAATGGGAAGCTTTTAAATAATAGAAAGGTTTACAGAGAAAGCCTATTGTCTGCGACGACGTTCAATTCCACTATGAGGTTAATAAAGTAGAATTTCTAACTTATTGCAATTTGCGGGCTCAATGGAAAAACGTGGGATACACCATACACTCGTTGCAACGTCAGCTACCTATTTATTATTATATTCTAATGAATCATATTAAATATACCTACTTATAACAATAAATAAAACTAAAAAACAAAAAAAACATTTTAAACAACATTTTTTTCTCGTTCCTACAGAAAAATTTCTTGCAACCTTTTAGTAGATAAGCAGTACATTATTATAAATATTTTTTCTGCTTTTTATCTTACTTTATTATTTAATATTACAAACGTGAAAGTTTGTGAGAATTTAGGAATGTTTTTTGTAATTCTTTCACGCAAAAACGGCTAGACTGATTTGGTTGATATTCGGTATGTAGAAAGGTTGATTAACACATAACTTTTTAATCAACAGTGCACGTGGGCAGAAACTGTTAATATATGAAAAGTCAAAAAAAGTAAAAAAAGTCAAAAATCATTTATTCCAATTAGACCTTTACAGGCACTTTTGAACGTCAAACAAAAATTTTGAAGATATAGTGTCAGTCTGTCGGTCAGTTCTCTTAGTAAAGCTATTTGCTCGTTCCAAAGTGTAGATTCCGATGGAGAAGAACGAGCAAGAAACTCCATGGTTACTCTTTTTAAATCAGTTTCACATACAGATTCCTTTACAAACAGTTGGTTCAATTATGTGAGAACAGTGTAACACTAATATTTATTCAAATATAAAAATAAAGTAACCTTAAGGACAATAGACAGTCTGGAGCTGACCAGTCCCAACTGACGGCGCCCGTTCACGAATATGACACGTACACCAGCATCGCCCAACTCAACCATATTATAGGGAATTAAGCGATCAAGCGCCCATGCCACCGCCAGTGTGACCTTTCAGTGAGCATGACAACTCCAAGCTGTTACAAGGACCGACATTCTGCTAGTCTAAACAATTGTAATAGGTTACAGGGCACTCACATTTACAAATTTATCAAGTTATAGTAATACAGTATAATGCAATTTCACTAATATGGAGAAGTCCCGTTCAAGCAAAATCCACTGGACCGTTATTTATTTTGGTGTAGGTTTGCTATCCTGTGGAGCAGGACCAGCATGTTTCCAAGCATCTTTATCTACAATATAATCATTCAGTCTGTAGTATGCTTTTCTACATAAAGTTTTCTTTACACATAATTTAAAATTTCTTTCATTTGCCAAAATGAATTTGCAATTTTTGCATTTGCCAATTTTTTAAGATGCCATACGACATAATGCTATGAAAGTAGCTGAAGTACACCAGTCTTGCAGTGTCCACATCTGTTAGCTGTCGGATCTTCCAGACAGCAAATGCTGCAGAGCTCAACCGTCCTGCCAGAGATGTGATATGGGGCCCCCATTGTAGTTTGTCATCTATGGTTTTACCCAGAAAAGTAGTTTGTTTTACAAATTCCAATTTCTTACCGTTTAATATTATGTCACATTCGTTACTTTTAACATTTGGCAAACTGAATCGTATACACTTTGTCTTTTTGTCGTTTAGGACTAAATTATTAACTGTAAACCAATTATGAACTTTCGTAATAGCATTATTTACGTCGTCATAATTATCTGTCCGTCTATTTATTTTAAAAATCAACGATGTGTCATCAGCAAATAATACCATTCCCGGTTCACGTTGAAATAAATGAGGTAAGTCATTTATGTACACTAAAAACAGGAAAGGACCTAATATCGAGCCCTGTGGTACGCCCAGAGATATGCTAGCACCCTGAGAGTTCACTTTATTTACTTGTACTTTGAACTGCCTATCCTGCAGGTATGATTTTAATAAATTGAGAGATACCCCTCGTATGCCGTCGTGTTCCAACTTCAGCAACAGTGTCGCGTGTTCAACGCAATCAAAAGCTTTAGACAGGTCACAGAAAATCCTAATAGCGTCGTTTGACTTTTCCCATGAGGCAAAAACATGCTTAAGTAGAGTTACACCGGCGTCAGTTGTGCATCGACCCTTGGTAAACCCATATTGTTGGTCATGAAAGATGGAATTTATGTTAAAGTGTCGTAGCATCTGAGAAAGCATTAGCTTTTCAAACACCTTACTAAGCACTGGTAAAATTGATACCGGCCTATAATTATTGGGATCATTGTCATCGCCAGATTTAAACAACGGAACCACCTTACTAAGTTTCATCAAATTTGGAAAAACTCCCTGATCTACGCTTCTATTAAAAATTAAAGCTAAATAAGGCGCTATGGCTTCTATAAAAGACCTACACACCGCAACAGACATTCCCCATAGATCCTCTTCTTGGGCAACTTCTTGATTTGCATTAACTCGTCCATGAGTTGCTCTAAAAGCTCAAACAACTACTCAAACAACTGCTAAATGTTAAGATTTTCCAGTAAAACCTAAGATTTAAGGACACTAGTTGGTACATGTAAGTATATATGATTAAAGGACGACTTCAGATTTCAAGCATTCCAATTCTGTGCTTGCTAGGTTTTATCAATGAGGACTGCTTCATGTTGGTTTTAAGAGTAAAAGAGTGATTAATCAATTCTTCGTTATTTATTTCAAGTTACCGGGCACGATGTTATAGCAGCGGCAAGACCTCTCTTTGAGGAGTGGCTTGAAAGGCGCCATGGCGTCCTCACTTGCCCCCTGAAGCAGGTGCCTACCGGACACGGAAGCTTCGGTACCTGTTCCGGATACAAAGTCTAGTCAAATTTATTTCAAATAGATCACTATAGGCACTTCTGAACGTTAAAGCCACAAAAATAAATAATAAGTACCTATCAAATAGTAAAGTAATCAAAAAGTATCAACTTTGCTTATCAGTCTGTCGAACTGTCGAGTCGTTAGTCAAGTAGTCGTCGTAGTAGTCGAGTTATTTACTCGTTCCAAAGAGTAAATTCCAATAGACGAGCAAGAAATTCCATGGTTTATATACTCTTTTTACACGACTGCCTAAAAAGTAATTGTTATGTTTTTAGGGCCCATTTGTGTATGTACAATACCGTAACGTATCTTGGCGAGTCTGAAGTTAGCCGATTAGCTGCGCAGTACACAATTTTGTTCCTAAAAGATCCATTGCGCAGACAAACGGCTTACTTCATACTCGCCA